GGTTGAAGCCAAAACAAAAGAGACTAATCAAAGACTGGAGGTGATGGAAAAACAAAGATCCTCTGATAAAGACCAACTTTTAAGACTACAAATGGAAAATCAGCGTATGTTCTGAGATTTCAAGGTGTTCCTGAACAGCAAGATGAGAATCTGAAAGAAATATTAAGTGAAGCATTGGCCCCAATGACAGGTTTAATGGTGGACACATTGCAAAGCGATCTGGATTTGGTCTACCAGACATATCCAGAATTTATTAAGAAAAAGAGCCTGTTTGGGGAGATAGTGGCGAGATTCTCTAAAAGGTCAAGAAGAGACATGGTGCTCAAGGCCACAAATGGGACTACCTTAAAAATCAAAGACAAAGAAATCAGAATCTTAAAAGACATTCTATTTGAAATAAGAAAGAAGAGGATTCAATACAAACATTTAACCGTTTTTTGCATAAAAACTCCATCCCCTACAGATGGATAATACCCGAACGACTGGTCTTCAACTACAAAGATAAAAAAGAAAAGATAGACTCTGTTTTAAAAGAGAAGATGTTCTTGGAACAGCAACAAAAACCAGCGAACAAAAAAGATACAGCAGAGGAACAAGATATCGAAGAAAAAAGCAGCACACATGGGACGGGAGATTCAGAATCAATAGCGATTAGTAACCCAGAAGAAGACTCTGTATCAGAATTAGGGGTGTCAGCCCCAAAAGTCCTGAAAGTCAAATGGAAATATGAAAAGAAGAAAAATAAAGGGAAGAAACAGATTTAATAGAATTGTATAAGCCTAAAAGTCTTATTGTTTGTATTTACTTGATTCAGTTATATATTTACCAGTCTGTAATAGAAGCAGTAGAAATTAGCTATATTCCAAAAACTATTTCTTTATAGAGAGAGCTTAAGCTAAATATGCAACTAATCATTATATATGATCCTTGTATAGCTTATTTTAGGTTAGTGTTAGTGTTTGTAGTGTTTTTGTAGTCAGAAAATAAAAAAATTAAAAAAAGAAAAAAGCAGCTCAACTGTGTCTCCCCCGCCCCCCAAGAAAATGGCAAGGGGGAAAAATTGCTTCCTCTTTCCCAAAGATCTCTTCCTCCTTGATAAAACAAACCTGGCAGCCAAATTTGCCAAAGGCAAAAAGTCATTTAAAATGAACATGAAATTAAAAGACGCCTGCTCCTTGGGAGGAAAGCTATGGCAAACCTAGACAGCATAGTAAAATGTAGAGACATCACCCTGCTAACAAAAGTCCATATGGTCAAAGCAATGGTATTCCCAGTAGTAATGTATGGCTATGAGTGTTGGACCATAAGGAAGGCCGAGTGCTGAAGAATAGATGCTTTTGAATTATGGTGCTGGAGAAGACTCTTGAGAGTCTCCTGGACTGTAAGGAGATCAAATCAGTCAATCCTAAAAGAAATCAACCCTGACTGTTCCCTGAAAGGCCAGATACTGAAGCTGAAGCTCAAATACTTTGGCCACCAAATGAGAAGGGAGCACTCACTGGAGAAGACCCTGATGCTGGGAAAGATTGAACTGGAGAAGACCCTGATGCTGGGAAAGACTGAAGGTAAAAGAAGAAGGGGACGGCAAAGGATGAGATGGTTAGACAGTGTTATCGATGCAATGCACATGAAGTTGAGCAAACTCTGGAGGACGGTGGAAGACAGGAGGACCTGGTGTGATGTGGTCCATGGAGTTGCGAAGAGTCGGACTGTGTGACTGAACAACAACAACATGC